TCTGTTATATGCTAGGCTCGTCATGTTAAACCTGAGTATTCCGCGTGTGCAACTGTTTTGCACCCGTTGTATTTGAACATAGAGCCTATCACACTCGATCATCACGTGGTGTCTCAGCACGAAGAACTTTCGCAATGGTGCATACTCAGGGAGAACACTTATACTTTGATAATTTAGTGAGGGATCATCTTATAATGCTACCGTCAATCAAAGCAAGATAAGATGCATAAAAGATAAACATCACATGCAATCAATATAAGTGATATGATATGGCCATCATCATCTTGTGTTTGTGATCTTCATCTTCGAAACACCGTCATGATCACAATCGTCACCGGCGCGACACCTTGATCACTATCGTAGCATCATTGTCGTCTCGCCAATCTTATGCTTCCACGACTATCGCTACCGCTTAGTGATAAAATAAAGCATTACAGCGCAATTGCATTGCATACAATAAAGCGACAACCATATGGCTCCTGCCAGTTGCCGATAACTCGGTTACAAAACATGATCATCTCATACAATAAAATTTAGCATCATGTCTTGACCATATCACATCACAACATGCCCTGCAAAAACAAGTTAGACGTCCTCTACTTTGTTCTTGCAAGTTTTACGTGGCTGCTACGGGCTTAGCAAGAATCGTTCTTACCTACGCATCAAAACCACAACGATAGTTTGTCAAGTTGGTGTTGTTTTAACCTTCGCAAGGACCGGGCGTAGCCACACTTGGTTCAACTAAAGTTGGAGAAACTGACACCCGCCAGCCACCTGTGTGCAAAGCACGTCGGTAGAACCAGTCTCGCGTAAGCGTACGCGTAATGTCGGTCCGGGCCGCTTCATCCAACAATACCACCGAACCAAAGTATGACATGCTGGTAAGCAGTATGACTTATATCGCCCACAACTCACTTGTGTTCTACTCGTGCACAACATCAACACATAAAACCTAGGCTCGGATGCCACTGTTGAGGAACATAGTAATTTCAAAAAAATTCCTACGCACACGCAAGATCATGGTGATGCATAGCAACGAGAGGGGAGAGTGTTGTCTACGTACCCTCGTAGACCAGAAGCGGAAGCGTTAGCACAATGTGGTTGATGTATTCGTACGTCTTCACGGCCCGACCGATCAAGCACCGAAACTACGGCACCTCCGAGTTCTAGCACACGTTCAGCTCGATGACGATCCCCGGACTCCGATCCAGCAAAGTGTCGGGGAAGAGTTCCGTCAGCACGACGGCGTGATGACGATCTTGATGTTCTACCGTCGCAGGGCTTCGCCTAAGCACCGCTACAATATTATCGAGGATTATGGTGCAGGGGGGCACCGCACACGGCTAAGAGAACGATCATGAAGATCAACTTGTGTGTCTAGAGGTGCCCCCCTGCCCCTGTATATAAAGGAGCAAGGGGAGAGACCGGCCGGCCCTTGTGGCGCGCCAAGGAGGGGGGAGTCCTCCTCCTAGTAGGAGTAGGACTCCCCTTTCCTAGTCCAACTAGGAAGAGGGAAGGGGGAAGGAAAGAGAGGGAGAGGGAGAGGGAAAGAGGGGCCGCGCCCCGCTCCCCTAGTCCAATTCGGACTCCCCATGGGAGGGGGCGCGCCACCTCCTGGGCTGCTGCCCTCTCTCTCCCCTCAGGCCCACTAAGGCCCAATACTTCCCCGGGGGGTTCCGGTAACCCTTCCGGCACTTCGGTTTTCTCTGAAATCACCCGAAACACTTCCGATGTCTGAATATAGCCGTCCAATATATCGATCTTTATGTCTCGACCATTTCGAGACTCCTCCTCATGTTCGTGATCATATCCGGGACTCCGAACAACCTTCGGTTCATCAAAATATATAAACTCATAATGAAACTGTCATCGTAACATTAAGCGTGCGGACCCTACGGGTTCGAGAACAATGTAGACATGACCAAGACACGTCTCCGGTCAATAACCAATAGCGAAACCTGGATGCTCATATTGGCTCCCACATATTCTACGAAGATCTTTTATCGGTCAGACCGCATAACAACATACGTTGTTCCCTTTGTCATCGGTATGTTACTTGCCCGAGATTTGATCGTCGGTATCTCAATACCTAGTTCAATCTCGTTACTGGCAAGTCTCTTTACTCGTTCCGTAATACATCATCCCGCAACTAACTTATTAGTTGCAATGCTTGCAAGGCTTATGTGATGTGCATTACCGAGAGGGCCCAGAGATACCTCTCCGACAATTGGAGTGACAAATCCTAATCTCGAAATACGCCAACCCAACAAGTACCTTCGGAGACACCTGTAGAGCACATTTATAATCACCCATTTACGTTGTGACGTTTGGTGGCACACAAAGTGTTCCTCCGATAAACGGGAGTTGCATAATCTCATAGTCATAGGAACATGTATAAGTCATGAAGAAAGCAATAGCAACAAACTAAACGATCAAGTGATATGCTAACGGAATGGGTCAAGTCAATCACATCATTCTCCTAATGATGTGATCCCGTTAATCAAATGACAACTCATGTTTATGGTTAGGAAACATAACCATCTTTAATCAACGAGCTAGTCAAGTAGAGGCATACTAGTGACACTATGTTTGTCTATGTATTCACACATGTATTATGTTTCCGGTTAATACAATTCTAGCATGAATAATAAACATTTATCATGATATAAGGAAATAAATAATAACTTTATTATTGCCTCTAGGGCATATTTCCTTCAAGGCTTACTAGGGACACTGTATTTTGTCTATGCACACATGTATCAAGTTTCCAATTAATACAATTCTAGTATGAATAATAAACATTTATCATGATATAAGGAAATATAAATAACAACTTTATTATTGCCTCTAGGGCATATTTCCTTAGGGGGGGCCTTGGTAGCAATGGAGGCTTTGCTTGACAGGCCGGTGCTCGAAATTGGTTTGCGGGACTTCCCGTCCACTCTGGACACGGTACCTGTTAGCCTGGTGTTTGATAACTTTTAGGAGTAGCAGTGGCAAGTGGGGGCGGCACCGCGGCAGCATGGGAGGACTTCATTTTTGGTGTTGCTCCTCGAGTACCGAGTCGTGACTTTCAGGGTGAAAACCTAAGGTCTGACCTTCATTGGTTGTGCCTCACAACTGCCTTGCCGAAGGTGTTATTTTGAGAGCTCAGACTTTCTCCTGGGTGAAAACCTAAGATCTCGGATCGGGCAACGACGGCGCTTGTGCACTATTTCTTTCTTGGAGGCATCGCTTTTGGAGACATTTCTTGTTTTCCAGGTGTTGTCTTTGGTGATGGTTTGAGTGCTGCTGCTGAGAGGAGTTGATCACTGTGGCCGGGCCTTTGTTTTTTTCTTTCTTTTTTGTTTTTTTTTCAGGCTGTGTGCATCATGAATGTCTTTGCGACATTTTGTTGGTGCAGAGGCTGGGTGTAATTGATATCTCCGCAATATTAATATATTTCCCCTGTCGAAAAAGTGACTACCAAAGTAAAAAAAATGGTACATTTGAATTTAGATCAAAAGAACATAATGGCGGGGAATTGCCTTGAAATGGTGTCAAGTCAGCAGACTGAATTCTACTTACATTTCCTCATCTTCCATATATATATATGTTCGGGAAATGCTTAGATTAAGTTGACGTATGAAACTGAACTTCCGTGACAACTTTGGGTACTAACCATGTAGTTTACTCCAAACTAAGACATGAAGAGAAGAAATCTTACCGTTGAGAAACTACACTGTCAAATATATGTGTCTTCGTCCAATCAAGTGACATCTACCCCCTAGTAACACTTACAGTGAGGGTCTGCAGATAAATCTCACCTTTGAAAAGTGAAATATTAATGCCCTGTGTTTTCTTCTGATGAAGCAACATCTGCTCTATAGTAAAACACCTACAATAATGATTTGCCTCTTCAGATTTCACTGCTTCCTTTGCCACTTATCATCTGCATATTCTTGGATCCTACACCGATGAACAAGGACAAAGAAATAAAAGGAAACTCCAGACATTGCAATCACAATAACCCCAAAGCATCATGGGAACCTACAAGATTTAAATGATACGTACATAATTCATCAGAAATAACATGCATCGCTTGACTGCTGAACAGCAAATTACTCTTTGATGAAGCATCTCCGCAAGTGAACTGCAGATATAACTTGATCGCGCTGCGTAAATTTTTCTGAGAAAAACATGATCAGTCCGCATAACTCAAGAATTGCCATTATTTTACATGTAGTGCATGAGAGGCCAACGTAGCCTGTGCTAGTCTTCAGTAACCCTAGGATTCAGACAGGACCTGATGCTGCTGAGCTCCCTGATGAAGCGAACGAGCCGCTCCAACTCAAGACGACAACGACCCCGCCCCGGCGACATCCAGCCTCAACTGCTGCACCATGACTTGGGGTTAGTGAACTACTGTTTGGATGTTTGAAAAAAAGGCCACTCTGAGATGGCAATAGGTTAGTGAACCGCGACGGATTGTTCAAAGAAAAAGCTATTGACCTCGCCAACTGGACTGTTGGGTCTGGTTGCACGGGTATAGAGTTATGTCCAGGTTTTTCTAACATGATTTGTTGAGCAGGTTTGGGCACTGCACACAAACACAAAGAAGTGGACACCTACAAATACTCATATTCATAGGCAAATTTACCCTCCTTAGTGCCGAGTTCAAAGATAAGGCACCTGTCACCCGTAGAAGATGCCGACCCGGTATACTACCAAGCCGACAACACAAGAATCAACCGGTGTGAAAATTGCCTTGAGCTTATTGAGCTGTATATAGGCAAGTACTCGATTTGTATAGCTAGAACACATCTTTATTGTAGATGTGGCATATGACATTAGTTACTTCTTATAAATATAGTCTTCACAAAAAAGATGCAAATACAGTATAATATTCATCATGGAATCGGGAAAATCCCAGTCTTTGAAATACATGAAACTATCAAATACAATCAAAAGGTTGTCATCATAGATACAAAGATCTACGCAAATACATAAAGCCTAGCTGCCTACGCTCGGTTTACAAACTCCCTCAAGGGTTTTTCCAACTGTTTCATGACAGCTTCCCATCCTGCATGTGTTGGGTGCATGTCGTCCCAATAGAAGAATTTGCTCGACTTGTCACACACTGTGTACAGAAGCTCCGCGGATGACTCGCCCTGCTGTCCGCAGTAACCATTCGAATTCAAAGTCTCGCAGCACGGCGATTGTTTGCGCTTGAATTGTTTGGACATCTCTGAGCCTTTGCCTACATTAATGCACATGAAATTGAAAATGTTCAGATAAAGTATTTTAAGTACACAATCAAACCCCATCTAATTAGATTAAGATAATTCTAAAATAATGAGACCCTTGTGAATGCTTGTAGATACATACCTGCTGCATGATCCACAATATTGGCAAAGGCCGTGTACACGTCGATGATGTAGACATTCTTCTTTGATGCCATAACTTGTTTCAGATTATCGTTGTGGATTGATGCACCCAAGTTTTCAAGAATATCACACGTGGTGTAGTTGTTGGTTCGGGTGTGTGATGGCGTGCAACCGATAGGGTGCAAGTTATTGACAAGAACCTTTGTCACCCCAAGCTTCAACAATTGATCCACATTAGCTGCAATCTCTTTTGTCACCTTTCCAATATAAGCATTAATCTACATCGCATATATGAAAATTGTAAGTTAGTAAGATACATCAAATTAGTGTATGCATATATACATTGTGCGTTGATATGATACTCACATCGCTGGGGCTACTTATGCCAATGACGCCAGTGCCTACTTATGCCAATGACGCCAGTGCCTGCATAGTCATTGCCAAAGAAGGCCACGAGCGCTACGGAGCGACTCAATTGATTCTCCATGATGGTCCCGTCCTTGACCATCTTCCTAAAAGTGTCGACCTGCTTGGCGAGGGCGGGGACCTCGTGTGATGTACTGTCCAACACGCCTGCACCACCGGTAGCAAAGGTCATGCCGGATGGGTCGCAGGTTTTCTCTGCCGTGCGGGCATGCGCCGGAGGGGCTTCCTCCAATCCCAGCATTGTTGCTGCAAGTTATCAATAAACAACGAGTATGGTTATAATTGTGATGCACCATAGATTACAGCATAACATGAGATTATAATATGAGTAGTACTTACCGATGAAATCCGACTGGATTTTATAGTTTGAGAAGCGGCCGGACGGAGTATTCGGCCGCGGAAACCCATCGGCATCGATGTAGTTGGAGCCGTAGGGGTAGGCCCATTGCCTCGACATCCTGGTGACTGGGTCGGTCAGAGGAAGGTTCCCGTTGTCGGCGAAGTCATCCCCGAAGACGAAGAAGGTAGCGCTCGACGCCTTCTTCTGATGGCCACCAGCCGGGGCTGGCCGGGCCTCCACGCCATTGGGATTCAGAACGAGCAGGAGGAGGACGAGGCCGAGGGCGGCCGGAAGAAGCTTCATCGATCCCGGCTACTACTGCTGGCCAACTCTTTCGCCAACGAAAAACCAGGAACTAACGTAAAGCGCTTGTCTGCGATGCTGGTACACCATGGCCTGGCCCTCTCTTCAATTGATATATGCTCGTACACCAGGACCGGCAAAGCAAGTCGAAGTCGGGCTTGTGGCCACGACCGGAGTCGGACACGGGTGGACCGATACGAGTCATGGACGGGACGTAGTTCGCTGGCCAAGCCCAGCAGGCAGCAGCTGCTCCTCTCGCGCGAGGCCTGCGCATCGTCCTCCCCTCCTCCGCCCCGCTGCGCACCGCCGTCAGCTCGTCGGCCGCGCTGCCGGTTGTCCTCGCCCCTCCACCGGATCGATGCCATGGGGTTCTCTCCGGTTTTGCTGTTAACCTCCGCCCCAGTTGGAGCCGTCGGCGCGTTACCTTCTGAGCCTGCCTTTGTAGCAGCTCAACGTTGGCGGTTGTCACCTTCTCAGTAACAGTTGCATAGGGGAGGGCTCTTCAAAACCGCAGTTTATACTATATGCTCTAAGCCTCTAACTATATATAGAACATAAGCACTTAACCAGTCGTACTTGAATAGAAAGATGCTCATGCATGCTCATAAGAAGCTGTGTTTCTCATGAGGACTTGCTGGTACTAATAAGCATAATTTTCCCCTTACAAAGTAGAACCAAGTGACTACCAAAGTAAAAATTGGTACATTTGAATTTAGATCACAAGAACATAATTGCGGGGAACTGCCTTGAAATGGTGTCAACTCAACAGACTGAGTTCCTCTTACAATTTCCTCATCTTCCATATATATGTTCGGGAAATGCTAGAATAAGTTCTGAGACTGAATAAGTATGAAACTGAACATGTAGTGCGTGAGAGGCTGTGCTAGTCTTCATTAGTTCTGGGCTTCAACAGGACCTGATGCTGAGCTCCCTGATGAAGCGGACGAGCCGCTCCAACTCGGACGACGACGACCCCACCTGCGCGACATCCAGCCTCAACTGCTGCGCCATAGCTTGGGCCACCCCCCTGATCTCGTCGGACACCATGGCCTCCCTCACCGTCCTCTCAACGACGCCTCTGTCGCAGACGTCCTTCGTGTCCAGCCCCGTCCTCCACACGGCGCCCACGAAGCGGCTGTTGATCTGCTGGTCGGAGAAGAAGGGCCAGCACACCATCGGCACGCCTTCCATGGCGCACTCCAGCGTCGAGTTCCATCCGGCGTGTGTCAGGAAGCAGCCCACCGCCCGGTGCCGCAGCACGTCCCGCTGAGGAGCCCACTCGACAACGTGTGCCTTGCCGCCCTCCACTGCCCCGATGGCTTCTCGGAGGAGCGTGGAGCTGGTCATCTGGACCATGTCCGGCCGGAGCGCCCAGAGGAAGGCATATCCAGTAGCTACCAGGCCGGAGAGGAACTCAGTGAACTGCTCATGCGTGATCACCGCGCGGCTCCCCAGGCTCACATACACGACGGACTGGTCCTCGTGGCTGTCCAGCCACGCCATGCACCCGTCGTCCTCCTGCCACAGGCTTGCGCTTGCGGTGAGCCTTGACCTGGCATGCAGTGGGCCTACAGCGAAGACGTCACTTGTGCGCGACGCAATGTGGGCGAGCGCTGGCTGCTCCATGGACGTGGTGGTGTTGAGTATGAGCGCACATGCCTTGCTGGAGCGAGCGGTGACCTCGGCAAGCTTGAGCATCCAGGGGTCTCCCTCGCCTTGTTCAGTGCAGTAGAGTCCACGAGGAAGATCTCGGCGCCGGAGGAAGCCCTCCATCCCCGGAACGCCGCACACCAGGTCATCCGCAGGGAAGGGGGTCTCGCCGAGCTCAACGAGCTTGGGCATAGACAGGAGCGCCAGGTAGCTGCAGGCGCTGTGCGTGGCGAAGGCGAGCGCCGGGATGCCAAGCTCCTCGGCGACATCGATGGCGAACGGCATGGTGCCATCGGCAACAACGCATGTCACCGGCGCGTCGGCGGACAAGAGCAGGGCACGGTATGCGGCGCTGCTGGTCTTCCGCATGGACTCCAGAAGCTCCAAGAAGCTGCGAGGGTGGTCGTCGGGGAGTCCGTCAGGGATGGAAAGCAAGCGTAGGCGCGGTGGCAGAGGCGCCTGGGGAAGACGGCGGAGGTTGTGCTCGGTGTGGAGGAAGGTGACTTGGAGGCCGGCATCGACGAGGGCGGTGGCGAAATGGAGCATGGGGTTGATGTGTCCCTGCCTTGGCCAGGGGAACACGAGGACGTGCACCGCGGCATCCATCACTCCGGCAAACGGGAGGTCGCCCAACTTGCAAATTTGATGGCAGCTCAGGCCGGCGTTGCTCAGAGTTCCATAGGCCTGATGAAGGAGGAAGAAACCATTGGCGATAAGAACGCTCCAAATTAGAAGTGACCTCCAGTAGGTAGCATCTTTCCAGTTAGCTGTATTTGCCTTGGTACCACACAGACACACACGGTTGGTCCTACTTGCACTATTTGACGTACCGTGTGGTAGACACACTATTTGGACTATTTCCACCCACCGACCCGTGGGTGTACTGTACTGTGACTCTGTACGTGTGATCGAAATTATTTTGTCATCTTCTCCTTTATCATCGTTCTTCTAAACAGATCCAGGTGACATCTAATTTATGCGTGCCCACTCTTTGCTCTTCCAAACATGTTTTGCACTTAGCTATGTGGCCTTGGTGACAACCTGGGTCCTTATCCAGGTGGGATGGCATTGCTATGGCTACATAGAAATGATTTGGTGTTTAATAATGTGATCTGTTGCAATCCATCACGGTATGAAATAACTAAAACTAACCAGATTCAAATGCATTCCAGTGACATAAGTTGAGAGCACTAACCTTTAATAGATTATAAGACAGTAACAAAACAAATGGTAAAGAAGCAAGAGCGTGCATGTGATGTTAAGTTATGCTTGTTCTTAGAGCTGCTAATTGTTTAGCTTCTTTATTTCCAGGTGGAACAAATAAATGGACAATATGAGATTTCCTGGACTACTCCATGTTCATTAGCTGATATTGTTTGCAATCATTCCTTCAGTTCTTTGGAGATGAAACCAGATCATAATCAATATGAAACATATATATGAACATCAGTACCCCAACTAACCTGATAATCCTTGAGAGCGACTAAAACAATTGGCGGACCCTCATGGCGGTGAACCCTTGATGCCTTCTTTGCCAGCAGCATAGTTATTGATTGAACTTGGATGGTCATGTAATTCATGACCTTGGAACAGCAAACGTCCAGCCTCTTGGAATCAGAGTGCCGTGACCATGACCCTGAAGGAAAATTCAGCAAGTCCAAGTTTAAAATCGTCACTGAACATTCAGTACAGTTTAATCATGGGACCCTACAAGATGTAAATGATACAGAAAGCCCAGGAACACCCCAGGCACAAAGGAAACTTAGAGAGCAGCCTGATTGAAGAAACCATTGAGAAAGAATATGAGAAGTTTCATGTCATCAAAGTGACACATACAGAGCACCCAAAGCTTGGCCAGACTTGCACGATGGCACCAAAGTTTTCTAGCTCACCGATTCCTGAAGGGAAGTCTCGAGCAAGTAAGTGTTAATACTTAATAGCAGTAGAGAGTCATTGTGATTAGAAGAGGGCAGCTAATGAACTTAGTTTACGGAGATTCAGAATAGAGATGCATCAGGTTAAAGCAATGTTTCCCTCAAAATACAAATATACTTTCTGAATTTGTAGAGGCACTTTTGAAATTTTGGACAGAGTTTATAAATCTTCCAATACTCTTTGCACATGTGACATGTGTGCTTCTTGAAATAATGGTCAATTAATCTAAAACAGTAAATTTACTTTGCAAAAGAAATTATTTCAGAGAATCATGGGAGCAGCTAAAATTTGCAAAAAAATAAAAGGGAACAATATTCTCAAACTGAAAACCTCAGGGTCATCTTATAGTCATCTAATCAGCACACCAAAATCAACTGACTGAAGGGAGATTTGCCCTAGATATAGATCTTTAACATGTTGGGTACACAACCCAATTCGTCTGCCATTTAAACTCCCATGAATTGATGATGAGAAACCTGTCCTCCATCCTGGAAACCGCTGTTTCTCCTTCACATGAATAATGTACAAACTTGGTGATGAAGATTGGCAGCCCATGACAAAGCAGTTGAATTTCCGAGCAGGGACTCTAACTCTTGAGAGGGTGAGCACACATAAGCCACTACTAGAAATGCCATACGTCAGAGCTTCATCAGCGGAAACTGAGGAAGAACTAGGTTCTAGCTGTGCTATCATTGCCTCAAAGTCCTCGACCATTGGAATGCCATAATCATCAAGTTCAAACCGCTTTTCTGTCAATTTTTCGTACATTCGGTACTTTGCAGATAGTGTCCGAATGCAAGATTTCCTGACACATTCAACTAACATAAGTTGAAGCTCTTTAAAATTGTCAACCTCAGAGAACCATCTTACCCAACGATGAATTATTCCTGCAAACCAACTTATGATTAGCTCATCATCTTGCAAAACAAGGGCTGAAACATGTTTAGGGAAACCTTCAAGATTAGTTACACCATAGCGATTGAGGCACTTCTTGATATAACTAAGAGGCGCATAAATCTTAATGGCAGCATCATCAGGGCAGGTATACATTGATTCCTTATTCTTCAAGCTGGACAACAGTGCTTCTGTAGCAGCAGTTTCTGATGAGATATAATCATTAGCTTGCTTCTGAAAGTTGTTAAAAGCATCTCTGAGTTCCTGCGGAAGTGCTGGTTCAGCAATGTATTTTGACAGGAGCACCTCCTCATTAGCTTCATTTTTGGCATTGATGTCCTGCATCCATACCTTGAGTAAAGTTTTGAACCAATGATCTGTCTTCATGCCCTCTTTCCTAAATTGTGCAATGTGATCCAGCAACGGAGTACTGAGACCAAGTGACTTGATCTCAGACTCCTTTACCCTCCTCAAACCATATGCCAACCACTTCTTTCCTAACCTAAGATTCATAGCATCCCATATCTCTTGCTTCTGACAAGCAAATAAACGGACCTTCTCCTTCAGCTTGTGAACAGTTTTCAGCGCAGCACTTTCTTTTGTTGCGGCCTTAACTACGGTGCCAGCAAACTGCAACCCCCAAGAGTCCTTTTTTACTGGCACAAGACACAATCCATCATCAACTTTCAGGTAAAGCGATTTGCTTAAGTAATCAACAACTTCAGACTTTACAGTTTCTGCTATGTCTCTGGACCCCACAACTGCAACAAAAATCTCATCCATGTATCTGCAAGCATATAATCTCACGTTTGGCTGGCCCTCTGTTTGATCTTCATTATTTAGATCCCCATCCTTCATTTGACTTCTAAACCAGTGACGCAACTTGGAGCCCTGGTTGTCTGTAACATTTTTTGCCCCTGAATAAAGGCCTTCATGTTTCATGCAAATCCTAAATACTTCATGGTCAAAACTGTCAAGATAAATATTCATCAGGATTGGTGCAAGTACTCCTTCTTGAGGAACTCCATGGCCCTTGGGAAACCCTCCAAATACCAAATTGATCACCTCGGCATCAAACATATCTTGCATGAATGCCACTAACTGGTCATCAACGATCTTTTCCTGTATTTGTGAAATAAGCTTCAAGACCACATCACTATCCACCTCCTTGTACAAAGGGACAGTAAAGCACCAATCTGGAAACCCAATTTCAGTGGATATGAACCTCAGAGCTGAGTGATATCCTCGCCCACTCCGACAACCATGTGATATCTTGGAGAACTGAGGCCTGTAAACAACCTCAAGCACCACCCTAACTGCTTCCTGGATAACTTTCAAGTTGAGCCGTGGAAGAACAATGCGCTCTCCTCCTTGCCTCTTTGCAGCTACTGAGAAAGAATTCACAGCGATATCAAACTCTCCGCTTCTGAGCTGCTCAGCCAATGCGATGAAGCAAACATCGTCCCTTGGAGACGCCAGATCGACATTAGAATTCAGCCGGACAATGTCGTAAGCATCCTCCAACGTATCGGCACTAGCCACCACCTTACCCATGAGATCGTAAAACTTGCCGTTCAAATACTGCGCCTTGACCCTCTTTTTTATCCGGAGCTCGGCCAGCCTCTTCCGCTCCATCCGGGACAGGGGCTTCCGCTGCCTCTGAGCAGCAATGGTTGACTCCTCAGCGAGAGAGGCCAGGCTCTTCGCCAGAGACACCGGTGGTTCCTGCGATCCGGCAGCGCTCTCCGCTGCATCCTCGATTCCGTCAAGCAAGAAATGCGCCTTGTAACGCCGGAAGCATGTGGTGTAGCGTCCTAGTTCAAAAAATGCAAAACACAACATTAGCGGCACAATTTTTACTATGTCACAGGAGAGGACGTTAGGATGTCGGATAGGTCACGCACCTTGCTGTGGTGGCCGGTGACTGGAGATGCCCCGGAGGAGGCGGGCACGGCCAGATGCCAGGAAGGACATGGAATCAGCTTCCCTGGTCTAGCGGGGCATTTGGTCGAGCAGGTGGTGTGCACAGGAGGACCAGCGAATGGCGGAGGCGAAGTCCCCCGTCGGTGCTAGATGGGGCTGGATCACCGTGTCCAGCCAACGGACGCCTGGTTCCCTCTCTAGCACCGGCGGTAGATACTGTGGTGGCTGCGCAGCGCCACCCAGTCAGGTGTCTGGCGGGCAGAGAGCGGCGAGGTGGCGACTGGTCCAGGCATCCCGACGGCAGAGCATCCAGCGTCCGATGGGCAGGGGAAATGGGAAGGCTGTGTAGCGGCAAAGGCCAGCGGCGCAAGACGGCGGTCCGTGCGGCGCCGGCGGCGGAGCAGCCGAGCAAGCACCGCCAAAAGAGTCGCGGAGACGGTGGAAAAGCCGGCCGAGCGCCGTCAGTTACCAAAAGACTATCTGAAGTTTTGAACTACTAGTGGCGAACCGCTCCTTTCACCGCCTGGTTTAATCCCGATTTTTTATAAGGAAAAAACCCTTACATATTCAGAGAAGTATTGCAACAGATCAGCCCACCTATCAATCTTGCGTGTTCATGAAAAAAAGCAACAGATCAGTCCACAATCAGAAATGCAAACTCGACAAACAGCAGAAAATGTTCTTCTTCGTCGGTTTCTCTGACCGAACATAGCGTCGTGGTCGAACTTTCAGGGAGAGGAAAATTTTTCACCACACACTACACATTTAGTCATGGACTCACCCACTTACGACGTCGGTCTCACTGCTCCCCCGGCGTAGACGAAGAAATGGATTGAAGGGTTGTTTGGATCGTGACTGTATCTTTTCCTTAAGGCACCTCCAACGCGGACGCTAAAAAAGATTGCTAGGATTAGTGCTAGGATTGATTTCCCTGTAGTTATTCTAGAATCCCGGTCGATTGAAGGAAAATATGTGGCATCGATGCCAGCCGAGGCATCGAGCGCTCCGTTCTTTTCTCCACACAAACTCAGTTGACGAGAGGGCAAGTGCCTACGTACATTTAGATGCATTAAAACTGAACACCCTCCCAACCCTCTCAGGCCATCAGCATTTCTATCAGTTGGATTATCTCTTTTAGACTTTTCTGGCTGTTTGATTCGCTCTTAATCGCGCCCAAATCACACGTACAGGCTTCCTGACGATCGCTAACCTTCTCGGGCCGCTGCTCCGGTGGTTTTTTTGGGTACCTGAGATTCAATTGGGCCTACTGGGCCTGCTCGCGAGCCTGGTCTCTTTCGCTCGCGTGGCGGCTCTTCCCATGGACGACCGAGCTAGGTCGCGAACGATGCGGGAGCGACGGCCATGGCGATCCTGGCGGCTGGGCAGGAATCCTACAGCCTACTGCGACACAGCCTTCCCTGCATCATCGCCTATCACAGCCTCAAGCAATGGTGCACCTCCCTCTTTCTTGATCTCTAGCAGACTAGCAGCAATGTCCACCGCTAAGCGCTAGCTTTCCAGGTAGCAGCACCCCCCCCCCTCGGTCGTTTTGCTTACTACGACAACACGTCTCCCCGTCTACCTGAGTGCTCAGATCCGGAATGTGGAACGCCACCGCCGCTATCATCCAGGGCCGTATGTTGCCGCCACTGGCCTTGTGGCTCTGAATCAAGGGGATTTGGGCTGGATCAAGAGGATTAGATTTGGGCGTTTATCTATGCATCATGACACCCTCCTCCTCTAGACATTGCCGTCAAATCCCCTCCTCCCAAGGTAACCAGTCAATCACCTTCATACAACTTTGCAAACTTTTTTTATCGCTGTCTTCCACTCACCCCCGTACGATATTTCATCCAATCTGCGATTTCTCTCTGTTCTGGTGGAGCCAGTTGCAGGTCAAAACGTTGTGCTATGAGGAGGTAAAGGAAATATTTATGGAGGAACTTAATGTTCAGGTATTGGTAGTTCTTTCTAATAATTTTTCTATGGTGTCATTTGATTAATATAGGTAATTGGTTGTTGCAAAATATAATTACGGTTTGCTCTTTTCAACTTTAGTGATATCATGTCATCATCCTCATAGGTGTGTTCTGCACGTCATGTTCTTTGTAGCTTTCTTGTGTGGAAACAACCAACTAGAAAAGGCGGGAAGTGTGTCTTAGTGATCATGTTTCAGTACTGCACACAAGAAGTTACCCGCTCTGAGTTTTATTTTATGAAGCAGACTTGAATCTTTGCTCCAAGTGGAAGAGAGTGTTACTGTCAGACAGTATTGGTTGCTGTTGCAGGATTACAGTAATAATTTATTAGCTAGGAATTTTTGTCAGCTGAGCATTTTCCTCTAGACGTGTGTGCCATTTGGAATCCCTTCGGTCCAAATCAATTTCTTATCTATGTTCACTCTATGGCGATCCCATATTTTTTTTATACTATGTGATTCCTTCATGCTTCTTTCATTGGTTCATATTTTACGATGATTAATTACACGACAAGGAAGGTTTATATTTATCATATTTTTGGTAGAATCGGTTCTATGTGTGTTTGTTCCTTTTCGTTCCATCGAGTTAGGCATGAAATAAGTTCAAGTTCAATTATTGTTTACTTCAGCAAAGTCATGCCTTGTTGTATCAGTGTGTCGGTAGACCTCATTTCCCACTATGCATGTGAGTTGCTTTGAGAACCATGGCAAAACAGATTACAATGTAGTTTTGCTAGATTCTTAATGACTTCACTTTGTTTGCATGTGGATAAACTAATAGGCGAGCCCTCTAACTGCAGTTTAACTTATCTACTTTAAGAGTAGGCCTAAGCGAGCATGGACAAAACTTTTGAATCATCTACCTGACAAATCATAAATTTGTTACATGTAAATATTTTGATCTTCTAATCTAAATGCAATCAGTTGTTTTATATTGTTATTCTAAATATCAAGGTAAATGATTACTTTGTGTAATTCTAATATCTGATTCAACAATTCCTTCCATCTTATAAATCAAACAACTTCTGCGTATACCATCTATTGAGTTTCAGATGGATGCTAAGATAGCAATGGAACACAAACTTGGTTCCACCGTTAGTACGTGATTCTGAAGTTTCTTAGTTGGAAAAATTTAGTACTTACCACTTGCTCTTCCTACAGTTTCCCCTCTTCTACATATTAGCCGATTAAGTGCCTGAAACGAAACCAAATGCTATATATGCCGGAGCAAGCAAATTATCAAGTACAGTATACTAGAGTTTATGAGCATCTTGAATTCTGTTGCAATATATGTCAACATCCAAAATTTATTTTTCACCTCTTTGAGTTATGAGTAGCAGTAATACTACATGAAGATTATAAATTAGGTAAGTTTTTTTTTTGCTCTCTAAAGTACAGACTCAATATGTATAATATTTAATAAACTGGCCTCAAGAACACAAAGGTCTGTTCAATACTTCCATTTCATTTTCCCACTCCTCATAAATACTCATGTTGCTTATTACAGATTGAAGGTATGCCAAAAATTTAAGCAGAAGGCAATGTTTGCTGCAGATTCCTTTAAATGTCTATTTCTTTAGTACGTCTCCCCTTAGTATATAATTCATAGAGATAAATTCTGAATAGCTCTAGCCGGGTATAAATTTAGGACCTTTTTTGTATTGTCGAACAAGGTTTCACTGCAATGGGAGCCATAGCTCAAACTTGGAATAGCTCTGTGTCAGATGAAATATAGTTACGCAAGAAGCGAGCTTGCCAATCAGGCTAGACTGTTGTGATGCCCCCGATTTAATCGTACACTAATCATACACGCAAACGTGTACGATCAAGATCAGGGACTCACGGGAAGATATCACAACACAACTCTACAAATAAAATAAGTCATACAAGCATTATATTACAAGCCAGGGGCCTCGAGGGCTCGAATACAAGAGCTCGATCATAGACGAGTCAGCGGAAGCAACAATATCTGAGTACAGACATAAGTTAAACAAGTTTGCCTTAAGAAGGCTAGCACAAACTGGGATACAGATCGAAAGAGGCGCAGGCCTCCTGCCTGGGATCCTCCTAACTACTCCTGGTCGTCGTCAGCGGGCAGCACATAGTAGTAGGCACCTCCAGTGTAGTAGGAGTCGTCGTCGACGGTGGCGTCTGGCTCCTGGGCTCCAGCATCTGGTTGCGACAACCAAGTAGAAGGGATAGGGGGAAAAGAGGGAGAAAGCAACCGTGAGTACTCATCCAAAGTACTCGCAAGCAAGGAGCTACACTACATATGTATGCATTGGTATCAACTGGAATAAGGCTATCATTTGTGGACTGAACTGCAGAATGCCGGAATAAGAGGGGGATAGCTAGTCCTTTCGAAGACTACGCTTCTGGCAGCCTCCGTCTTGCAGCATGTAGAAGAGAGTAGACTGAAGTCCTCCAAGTATCATCACGTAGCATAATCCTAACCGATGATCCTCCCCTCGTCGCCCTGTGAGAGAGCGATCACCGGTTGTATCTGGCACTTGGAAGGGTGTGTTTTATTAAGTATCCGGTTCTAGTTGTCATAAGGTCAAGGTACAACTCCAAGTCGTCATGTTACCGAAGATCACGGCTATTCAAATAGATTAACTTCCCTGCAGGGGTGCACCACATAACCCAACACGCTCGATCCCATTTGGCCGGACACACTTTTCTGGGTCATGCCCGACCGCGGAAGATCAACACGTCGCAGCCCCACCTAGGCACAACAGAGAGGCCAGCACGCCGGTCTAAACCTAAGCGCACAGGGGTCTGGGCCCATCGCCCATAGCACACCTGCACGTTGCGTACGCGGCTGGAAAGCAGACCTAGCAACCTCCATTACAAAGGAAGTCACGTTACGCGGTCCAACCCGGCGCGCGCCGCTCAGTCGCTGGCGTCACGAAGTGCTTCGGCTGATACCACGACGTCGAGTGCCCATAACTGTCCCCGCGTAGATGGTTAGTGCGTATAGGCCAGTAGCCAGACTCAGATCAAACACCAAGATCTCGTTAAACGTGTTAAGTATCCGCGAACATCGACCAGGGCCAGGCCCACCTCTCTCCTA